CAATTCAACCCAGCCTAGAGAACATAAAAAACTCTCACATCTCAACAAAGCCGACCTGCACCAGAGAATAGCTGAAGGTTCGCCATCTGCAACATGGTATCTTCAGGCAACCAAATTAGAAAGGTTAAATATCCCAAAAGGAATCCACAGGGAAATAGCAGTTAGGCTATATAGACTACGTCTAGGTTACAGATGCAACTGGGAGATTGGTGAACCCCGACAGAGAGAGTGCATCTTCTGCCAAACTGTCACAGAAAAGCCATTACTTCACTATCTTCTGGAATGTGAAGCAACCAATGACCTTAGAAGAGCTTTAAGAGTTCCTGAATCATGCAGTGGCCACCCTGAAGCCATCAACACAGCCACTCTCCTGGTCAACAAAGGTGTCCAGCAGCTGGACACCCTCATAAAGACTGTGAAGCAGTATCCTCCCCCACGATAACAGCTTGATGGTTAAATGCAACCTCAGAACACTGGGAAAAAAAAAATTGTACCACTTACGGGCTATTCATGCCCGTGCCACCTCTTGGGTGGCTTAATCTTTATCAATCAATCAATCTTGTGTACTACACCATTTGGTCCGGGAGACATCTCCCGTCACGCAGGGTGCAGTTGTGCCTCCACAGATCTCCAGTATCATCTCTTGATACTGGTAATGGCTCAAAAGGGCCACCACTTACGGGCTATTCATGCCCGTGCCACCTCTTGGGTGGCTTAATCTTTATCAATCAATCAATCGAATTATAGCCACCATTTGGTCACCACTTGGTCCGGGAGACATCTCCCGTCACGCAGGGTGCAGTCGCACCTCCACAGATCTCCAGTATCATCTATTGATACTGGTGATGGCTCAAAAGGGCCACCACTTACGGGCTATTCATGCCCGTGCCACCTTTTGGATGGCTTAATCGTCATCTTGGACACATTCATGGGAGACATCTCCCGTCACGCAGAGTGCACTTGCACCTCCACAGATCTCCAGTATCAGCTCTTGATACTGGCGATGGCTCAAAAGGGCCACCACTTACGGGCTATTCATGCCCGTGCCACCTTTTGGGTGGCTTCATCTTCATTTTTTTTTTTCGAATTATAGCCCACGGGAGACATCTCCCGTCACGTAGGGTGCAGTCGCACCTCCACAGATCTCCAGTATCATTTATTGATACTGGTGATGGCTCAAAAGGGCCACCACTTACGGGCTATTCATGCCCGTGCCACCTTTTGGGTGGCTTCATCTTCATCTTAACACATTCACAAAGGAGACATCTCCCGTCATGCAGGGTGCATTCGCACCTCCACAGATCTCCAGTATCAGCTCTCGATACTGGTAATGGCTCAAAAGGGCCACCACTTACGGGCTATTCATGCCCGTGCCACCTTTAGGATGGCTTAATCTTCATCAATCAATCGAATTATAGCCACCATTTGGTCACCACTTGGTCCGGGAGACATCTCCCGTCACGCAGGGTGCAGTTGCGCCTCCACAGATCTCCAGTATCATCTTTTGATACTGGTAATGGCTCGAAAGGGCCACCACTTACGGGCTATTCATGCCCGTGCCACCTCTTGGGTGGCTTAATCTTCATCAATCTACTCATCCACGGGAGACATTTCCCGTCACGCAGGGTGCAGTCGCACCTCCACAGTATCATCTATTCATACTGGAAATGGCTCAAAAGGGCCACCACTTATGGGCTATTCATGCCCAAGCCACCTTTTGGGTGGCTTAATCTTCTCTCTCTCTCTACTCATCACACAATTTGGTCCGGGAGACATCTCCCGTCACGCAGGGTGCAGTCGCACCTCCACAGATCTCCAGTATCATCTATTAATATTAATGATGGCTCAAAAGGGCCACCACTTACGGGCTATTCATGCCCGTGCCACCTTTTGGATGGCATAATCGTCATCTTGGAAGACACCCACGGGAGACATCTCCTGTCACGCAGGGTGCAGTCGCACCTCCACAGATCTCCGGTATCATCTATTGATACTGGTAATGGCTCAAATGGGCCACCACTTACGGGCTATTCATGCCCGTGCCACCTTTTGGGTGGCTTAATCTTCATCAATCAATCAATCGAATTATAGCCCAGCCACCAGTAACACGGGAGACATCTCCCGTCACGCAGGGTGCAGTTGCACCTCCACAGATCTCCAGTATCAGCTCTTGATACTGGTAATGGCTCAAAAGGGCCACCACTTACGGGCTATTCATGCCCGTGCCACCTTTTGGATGGCTTAATCGTCATCTTGGACACATTCATGGGAGACATCTCCCGTCACGCAGAGTGCACTTGCACCTCCACAGATCTCCAGTATCAGCTCTTGATACTGGTGATGGCTCAAAAGGGCCACCACTTACGCGCTATTCATGCCCGTGCCACCTTTTGGGTGGCTTCATCTTCATTTTAACACATTCACACGGGAGACATCTCCCGTCACGCAGGGTGCAGTCGCACCTCCACAGATCTCCAGTATCATCTATTGATACTGGTGATGGCTCAAAAGGGCCACCACTTACCAATTCATGCCCGTGCCACCTTTTGGGTGGCTTCATCTTCATCTTAACACATTCACAAGGGAGACACATCTAACATCATGCAGGGTGCATTCGCACCTCCACAGATCTCCAGTATCAGCTCTTGATACTGGGAATGGCGTAAAACCACTTACGGGCTATTCATGCCCGTGCCACCTTTTGGGTGGCTTAATCTTCATCAATCAATCAATCGAATTATAGCATAGTTAGAACTCTGTTCAGTGTTTGCAGGTTATAGTTGTGTGTGTGTAAACTAAAGTCTTTGAAAATGTAATAAGTTATTACGAAACGCGTTCAAGTGTCGTGTCAGACTAGAAATAAAAATGAATTTTGGAGAATTGATTTTCCAATTACCATCGACAGTGAAAAGAAACATAAGAAATATTGAGAAAATTCGTGTTGAAATATTAATCTTACTTTTTCGGTCATAACAATTAACATCGTGTAGTGCACTCTATATATCAAAATATATTACTTTGAAACCCATATCATTCACTAAAAAAATTGGGCTACTCTTATGACAAATTCGCTACTTTTAGACCGTCAGCTCGCTACTTTCAGCAATTTAGATCTGGCAACCCTGGCTCCAGGTCAAATACGTCAGTTAGTACAGAAGATGGGTCGTACAAATATATTTTTACCATTTCGCACTCAAAATTTGGACGTTCCGTATATTTCAGGTATTCGGAATTTACACACAGGAATCATAATAGAGTAATGCATCAAATGAATAAATCCACAAGGGCCATGACGAGGGTTTGAACTTACGTCCGAGAGGAACCCAGACGCTGCCTTAATCGACTGAGCTACGACATGGTAAAAGAATTGCAACCAGGAAATCATCCTGATCTACCACGGATCCTGCAGTCTCTCCGAGACACAAACCAGGGTTTTACCATGCATGCACCCGAGCTCTGTCAATAGGCTGTTCTACCTTGTAACGGTTCTATTGTTACGTAAAGTATGGTGACAATAAACACAGACACTAAGAGAATATGTGTGTATATCACGAGAATATCACGAAAAGAGAATATATATATATTTAGTCGAGTATACAGAAGTATGCAGGTGATACCTTGGCGAGCAATGTGTGAGATGAGCACACTGAGAGTCGGTACGGTATCTCGCAAGTGTCTGTTCTAGACCACACTTGAAAGTAGACTAGTTAATATTTGCTATTCTGCTGCTTATATACTCGGGCAACACCTCACCGGGTTGCTTGGGCAACACCTCACCTCATTCATCTCCAAAGGTTGGCAGGAATATTAACAATGCATTTGGAGCGAGTATATTATTAAGATAATCTACTCGTTACAACCTCTTCGCCCTTTCTTCATTACACACAGAAATCACAATAGCGTGATGGATCAAATTAACAAATCCACAAGGACCGTAACGAGGGTTAGAACCTGCGTCCGAAAGGATCCCAGACGCTGCCTTAATTAATCAACTGAGCTACGACATGGTTAAAAAATTGTAAAACCCTGGTTTGTGTTTCGGAGAGACTTCAGGATCCGTGGTAGGTCCGGATGACCTCCAGGTTGCAAATATTCCTATTGTATGCAATGTACAGTACTACCTAATGATATTCCATTATATCTGTACCCTGAAATACAAGTATCCTACATGAACATCTGCAAAAAGAGTAAAGAAAACCCAGCACTCCTCAAAGCAACAACACTTGAAACTATTGATTCCATAATAAATAACTCACGGCCCCACTTACGCTATTAGGTCAGTTCGAATGTCAACAGGTCGCACTGCAGCAGCCTGTAGATAAAAAATAATATTAATATTTTATTTACAAGAAGATACAATAGGTTGGTGATATTTCATTAGAGTGTCATTTTTACATTCTTGCAAAGCCACTAACACATATAGCGTTTCGGGCAAGTCCTTAATCTTACATATCAGGTAAGGGGAAAAAAGTACATTGTAGAAAGGTTTTATATCAACAATATTTTATTGACAGAGGTAATTACACTGGTAAAACTTAAGTAATTAGTCTTAAGTACTAATATTGGGGAAGTGGGTAGTACAAGATTAAACACAAACAACATATGTTCACGGACCCCAAGCGTGAGACTGAATAACTGGCTTAGCTCCATTACTCCATACATACAAAATTAGCTGCACTAGAACTTGCCACAGATGCACTGAAGAATAGTGGAGGAGTAATTTTTCTGTGGTTCATATTGGGTTGTTAAATGATTTTGCGGGTCGTATTCCAGGGAAAATTAATAAGATTAGGGGACCTGCCTGAAACGCTATGCACCATAGTGGCTTTACAAGAATGTAAGAACTCTTGTATATATAGAACAAATAAATAAAATACAATAAAAATAAAAAACATTGACGGAGTGTGGAAGGAGGATGCTAAACGCTGTTATTGCCATCTCTTGACGAGATTCTAAACTAGGTGGTGAGCTCAGAGCATCACGTCCACCAGACGCTACATTCCTCACCTTCCTTTTGCATCCCCCGAGCATATGGGTGGTGGTGGTGGTATTTACTACCTGCTGTGTGTTGGTTGATTTTACCGACTTCATTGATTCAGTAGGTTGTGAGTGTGTGAGGGAGAGGATCCACGTGAGGCCTGCAAGATGGGGAAGTTACGAGTGACAATGTTACGGTATCTGACCAGGGAGGACTTCAGGGTGCTGACCGCGGTGAGTTTCTATATTCCCATCAGCTGTTGGAGATTTAATTATTAAAGGCCATGTTGTTTACTCCAAAATGTTATTTAAAGATACGAGTAAATAAAAACCATATGTATATAAGGTCGCTGTGTATGGTTTTCAGTTTTATGCCAAAAAGAAAACATTCCTAAGGTTGGGTGTTTTGACCTATGTCAATACTGTCCCTATTTTTCTTAGAATTAAATTAAGGAGTATGACTGAAGACAGTCAGTATTATGATATAAATTGTATAACATCCTTTTGGAACATATACTTCAAACTTTTTCCAGTGTAAATGTAACAATACATATGTAATTAGTACTTGGGGAAAAATTATCATGAGACTGATCCTTCTCAAAACTATAATTTATTAAATAATTATAGTCATCATAGATGTAAGAAAGTTCATGCTCAATTAATGTATCACTAACATTTTTAATTTTTGGAGGTTACTGAATCATTTTCATGTATGAAACATAAGAACAATTGATCTGTAGATTTTAATTTATTAAATTAAATTGTGGGTATTTGAAGATTGAAAATTGATATTTTGTTACTGAATGTTATATGACATTTAAAGAGATTATTTCATATGGCTCTGCACGACTGACTGCTGAAATAATTGGCCATCATTGAATATTGATTTGATTTTCCCAATGTCATTGATTGGAAGCTTATTTATCTTATTAGGGTTTCCCTAGGCTAGTGAAGTACTTTCCACCAGAGTGCAGCCCACGACAGTTGCAACACTCTGGTATCTATTTACTGCTATGTGAACAGTGGCATCAAATGTAAGGAAAATATATCCAAACCTCTTGTCCAGTTTGGCAAATTAATTGGAGACCATTTAATTATGAATTATCCACACTAATGTATAATTTGATCTTATTTTCTCCTTTTCCTTTCATATATTGGTTGCACTTAATCTGTTCATTTTTTCAGATTGAAATGGGGATGAAAAACCACGAACTTGTACCTGGTTTCCTTGTAGCTCAGATCGCCAATGTTCGATCGGGTGGCGTTCATAAAATGCTGCAAGAACTGTGTAAACATCGACTGTGTACATATGAGCGCGGAAAACACTGTGAGTCATGATTTAATAGAAATTGTTAAACTTGCACTCTTTTCTACATAGTGTTTGCTTTCACTCCACAAGCAAATTCCAAAAGCAGTAAGAAAAACAGGAGTTGCTTTTTCACTGCTGATTAACGTTAGGTGTGTACAAGATTGTCATTTTGAATTCAATGATGCTGCCTTATGTTCAGTGTTGCTGGAACGTACTAATCGGAATCAGACGTGATCTGCGTTAAATCTGGATTCCAGTAAACTGAAAGTGGACATGCATTAATTAAAGAAAGGAAAAGAAAAAATCAAAGCTAGAAAGGTACTTTCTGTTCAGTTCTCTATTCAAGCAGGCCTTCACCAATAGCCCTGCTTGAAATGTATTTAATATGATTCTCATCAATTATTTATGTAAACAAAAAAAATATTTTTAATTGCTAAAGTGACGCCTATGTTTTGGTTACCAACTTTTTGCCAAGTGAAAAGTTAAATAATTTTGCCAATTTTGTATTCATAAAAAGAGTGTTATTTTGGTTTACCTAACAAAGTAAGAAATTGGATGCATGTACTGTATGAAAGGTGAGTCACGAGGGCAGTTTTCCTAAAAATTTTGGCATGCTATTTTCGCAATAATGAGCTAAAGCAATTTACTTTATTCCAGATGATGGATACAGGCTGACCAACATGGGATACGATTATCTGGCTTTGAAAGTTCTGTCTTCACGTGATATTCTTGGGGGTGTTGGAAGTCAAATTGGTGTGGGGAAAGAATCTGATATTTATGTGGTAACTGACACACTAGGAAACCCATTATGTATGAAACTTCATAGGTAAGTTTCTTATCAAATATGATGTGTTTTAACTTTTACTTTTCACTTTGTGTTAAAAAATGCTTTAGGCCTTCCCATTTTTTTGGTATTATTCTGTACCTGTAGCTGCATTAAAGAATTATTTTTTATCCTGGCCTCAGGCTAGGCTTTCCGAGTGAATATTGTGAACATACGTAATGCAAAATTGTTTGTATATACAGTACTTGTGCATTTTATAAAAATTGAATGGATTTTTTGTTCTGGATTTTTGCAGACTTGGTCGAACATCTTTTAGGAAGTTAAGGGAGAAGCGAGATTACCATAATAAAAGGCATCAGATGTCCTGGTTGTATCTGTCCAGATTGTCTGCAACCAAGGAATTTGCTTACATGAAGGCTCTTCATGCCAGAGGCTTTCCTGTACCTCGTCCAGTGGACTGTTCCAGACACTGTCTCATTATGGAACTTGTTGATGGTCATCCTTTGTAAGTCGCTATTGTAGAGTGTATCTCCAATACTGTATATTTACTATATACATTTAGATGTAATTACCAAAAGGCTTTAAATAATAACTTCTGTCTATATTGAGAAAATACTTTTTTTTTTGTACTGTAACCATCATTATTACCCCATTTCTCCACATTCATAGGGTGGGGAGACATTAGGCAGGATAGTCAACAAAATTTGTCATCTCCTTTAGCATTAAGTGAAATATGGAAGGTCTAATTTTAAAAAATGTTGATTTGAGGGCATTAACTTAACATGGAAAAATAATTTAAAAAATGATCGTATATAGAGTTGTTGTTTTTGTATATCGGTGATAATTTAAAAGGACACAACAATGGGAAAATTCATCAGGTGGACCAGCTGGTGTTACATTGGAGCGGCTATGTCTGTCAATGAAATGTTGAAATCCCAGTTTGGGCCATTAGCTTGCCTTTGTCTTAAAAACTGTTTTCCATCTCATGAAAGTGGTAATTTTGCTTGGTCGAGATGTGTTTTTTCTGTTTACTCTTCAGCAACTTCTTTAAATCTGGCCACAGTGCAATAGTATGTTCATATACGTTTTATACTTTGCTGTGCTTGTGTTACTTTTGGTATTTTTATGTCTACTTTGAATTCAGACATGTTATCTCCTCAGGTGCAACATTCATGATGTCAAAGATGTTCCCCAGCTGTACAGTGACCTCATGGATCTGATTGTTAAATTTGCTAACCATGGTGTCATACATAGTGATTTCAATGAATTTAACTTGATGCTGGATGATTCTGATAAGCCTGTGGTTATTGACTTCCCCCAAATGGTTTCAACAACTCACGAAAATGCCAAGATGTGAGTAAACAATTAGTATTGAATTATTTGTTATAAATACAGGTTTACGGGAGTACTTTTTTGAAGATATTTGAATATTATTTAATCTGAATGCCCGCAGTTATGTGTAAAATATGTGAAATTTGTTATGCTCACATTTCCATTTTGTTTCTTTACAAACTTGGTATCTACTTCCAGGTATTTTGACAGAGATGTTAGATGTGTGCAGGAATTTTTCAAGCGGAGGTTTGGATACGAGAGTGAACTTTGTCCAAATTTTGAGGAAGATATTCAGTAAGTTTAAACAAATTATTTCCCTAATCCAACATTATATCTTAAATTTAAATACCATTTTGTCATTATCAGTAGTGAAGATGGGAACAATTCATTTCTGTATTAAGAGAGGGGGAGGGAAATTGCAATCCACCAGCCCCAGAGAGGGCTGGTAGATTGTAATTGTCACCAGATTTTTCCAATTGTTTCTTTGAGAATACCTGCATATATACATAAAATTTACAAGGTGGTAAAAGGCAGGTACCTATTGAATTTGATTTTTTCTAGTTAAAATAATGGGGGTGTTAAAACTCCTACTGTATTGGTACTGTACATGAATTTTCATAGTTTCCTTGATAGTTAAGAGATACAATTTCATCATATTTCTACTAGATGCAATGGAAAAATTTTATGCCAACGTTCGGTACCCATCTAGTTCTTTTCAGTTTTACATTTTACCGTCTTTTCACTTTACTGATTGTATCTCGCATTGATCTAATTTTTGAATGATGTGGCCTGCTCTGAGGCAAAATATTGGTAAAAGCTTATCATTGTAACCTGATTCTCTTGCATAAGGTTGGTGAGGCATCATTTCAAAGATGATTGAACAATATAGGAAAAATGGAGATGTTAAGAAAAATTAAACATTCACAATGTAGAGCTAATATCACTATACACTTCACCAAGTTGTCCACAGGAGCACATGTGGGTGTTTTATGGTGCATCTCTACATATATTAGTTTCTTAGTTGAGAATTTAGGTGATCTATCACAGAGTGTAGTGCCCAGTCATTTGTCTGTTTCCTTCACCATACAGTAGTAAATGTTATGCCTTAAGTCTGGCATTAGCACTATATGATACATTTGAATACTGGCATATTATCTGACAATTTTATTTTGTCCAACAGGAGGGAATACAATCTCGACAAAGAAATTGCTGCTAGTGGATATTTGAGAGAAGTTCAAGAATTCAATCAGGAGTTGCAAGTAGGGCAGGATATGCAAGAAGCTGAGCAGAGCGAAGGTTCAGAAAGTGAGGAAGAGGATGATTTCAATCAAGAGGACACTAAACAAAATCAAGAGGAAATTACAGAGCTTAAACTTTTAACCGAAACTTTGTGCAAGGATCTGAAAGACGAAACCAGCATTGGGGACCTTTGTGAAAAGTTAGAAGATCAGTCTTTAGAGGTAGTTTTAGAAGAGGAACATGAAGAAAAGAATGATGAAGAAAAAAGAAAAACTGCTAAAAAATGTTCAAAAAGTAAGGGTAAGCATTTGGATCATGAAGCCAGAACGGCTCTCATAAGGCAACTCGCAAAGGCACGCGAGCTAAGGCAGCAAGCTGAAGAAAATGGAGAAGACCCACCAATATTGGAGGACCTCATTGATGATTCTTTTAGTGACATATGTAGTATTAAAAGTTTTTCTACAACTACAAGCTCCATAGCACCTAGAGAAGTCAAGCATCGTACACACAAAGATCTTCAAAGGAGAGAGAAGAAACAAATATCCAAGAAGAGCTTGAGGGTAAAAGGAGAAGCCAATGCATTTAAGAGAAATAAACATGAAAATGAAGCAGTTATTAAAGAATCAACTGGTTGGGATGATTACTGAGTTTTTATGAATAATAAAACTAACTACTGTACTGTTATTTGTTCTTAATTTGCCTCTTGGTTTTCATTTTGTGTGGGAATCAGTGAAAGGACGTCAAAATGGTACCTTCTTGATTGTACTCGCTGGGAGATACCAGCTACAGAAACAATGCAGGGTGTAGAATATGCACCCAAATAAAATCTATGCACAGATGGTCTGAATAATTTGACTGGTTCCACTCCCTGGAACTTGGCCTAAATGTCAACTGTATACAGATGCACCAAACTTAAAAATAATATTTACAATAAAATGCAATATTCATTGAGAAAGAAAATTGTGCTAAGTCACTACTGGTAAAGTTGAATAAATATATATTTAAGAGTACATTACTTTGAAGAGTAACCTTCATATTATACAATATGATAACGCTATTTCCCTTAACGTACAGTACTAAGTAAAGTTTACTAGTTAAGTTATTGGAATGCAACACTTAATCAGGGTGCATGTGAAAAATGTATACTATTGTCATATTACTGTACCTTTAGTTTGTTTAAGTCCTAGACTATATTCATTTACTTAATTTTTTATTTATTTATATATACAAGAGTTTTTACATTCTTGTACAGCCACTAGCACACTTAACATTTCGGGCAAGTCTTTAATCTATGTTCCCTGGAATACGACCCCCGCAAAAAATCGTTGAACAACCCGGTACCCATTTTATTGTCGAGTTAAACAGAGGCTACAGCTAAGAATTTGTGCCCAGTAAATGCTCGCCAGCCAGGATACGAACCCAGGACAAAGCGCTCGCGAAACACCTGGCGAGCGTCTTAACCACTACACCACGGGGACTAATACTGATTGTAAGATATGCACCAGGGTTAATAGTATACTTGTTGGTTGGTTAATAAACTATTGTGGTTGTTTTAATAATTCTGTAGAGGTTGATAGGTCTAAAGCCCAACACCCAAATCAAAGGCATAAAAATTAGCGAAAATACTTACTTGTTTGTTAATGAAGACAGGAATAATAATGACAGCTTCAATAAAAGTAGGTAATTGATGAAATTTGCCAGAAAAATAGTATTATTTGTAAATGTTACAAGCAAAAAACAAGAAGCTTAAGCATTTACATGTGATAGAAGTAATAACAGTAATACTGTGCTAAGCATTGTTTTTTTTGTAATTATACTAATTATTCACAATATATAATAAGCAACTATCAAACCTCATCAAAACTTACATATGAATAAAGAAATAAAGACAGGTCAAACAAAAATATTTACATTAGTGATGACAGTAGTGGCTACATTAACAGACACAACAGACATTGAATAAGGTTGGAACCTTGTTGACCAGACCACACACTAGAAGGTGAAGGGACGACGACGTTTCGGTCCGTCCTGGACCATTTTCAAGTCGATTCAAATGTGTTTATCAATAATTTTAAATCATTTCAGTGATATAGTTTGGCCATAGTTATAGTTCCTCTTTTTTTCTGTGTTTGTTATAAGCATGCTGTAGTTATCATTTTCTTTTGATAGGCTAAGAACATCGCGGAACACATTCTTCTTCGTGATACGTGCAGTTTGCATGAAGGTTTTTCCTCCTTATGACTGCACTGGTACACGTCATTACAGGCGCAACGGATTATATAAGACGATATTTGGGATCACTCTCCAAAAATCTGTCATTGTTGCTGTCGCCCCGTTTCCTTCCTCTCTTTCCAGGAACCTGGTATCTGTACTAACTTTACCGATACCAGTTTACCATGGGCTTACGTGCTCTTTCCTCAGGGTCACCGTCTCTCAAGCTGTTCACAATCTGGCACTCCATCCACAATACGCGGAATCATGAAAACAGGTATACTTTTTACTAAGTTGGGAGGAGGAGCAGGTGGCAATAAGAAAATTGAGATATGATGTCCATGAACAATCCTCTCGGAGATACAAGGAAATTTCAACACATTCCAGTTGGTTCAGAGCGTCGACCGCCTCAGTGGCCGCAACAAGAACAACGACACAGATTTCTGAGAAGTGATCGCGTCCAAAACCTGTTGCTACCAGGGTGGAGAGAGTGTTGCCAAGTGTGGGCATCGCGGCACACAAGCATCACGATGTTCCTGCAGGGAATACTTTATGTTGCCTCAATAGGTCGTGTCAGGGAGAGAGAGAGAGAAAAAGAGAGAGAGAGAGAGAGAGAGAGAGAGAGAGAGAGAGAGAGAGAGAGAGAGAGAGAGAGAGAGAGAGAGAGAGAGAGAGAGAGAGAGAGAAAGAGAGAGAGAGAGAGAGAGAGAGAGAGAGAGAGAGAGAGAGAGAGAGAGAGAGAGAGAGAGAGAGAGAGAGAGAGAGAGAGAGAGAAAGAGAGAGGGGGGAATTAATAGTGTTACAGCAGGGTGAAGGTGAAGACACAGTTGCATGATTGTTGGTGTATACATGGGGGGTTATGGGGGGGTTATGTTTGGCATATGGTATGCAAATAGTTCAGTTTTATTAACAGTGATGGATTTAGGGTAATGGGGGTAGGGAAATATACCATTGATAAGCTTGCTACCATCCCCCGGCGCACTACTACGTGCCATCATTTTAAAATCAGTGAGCATTTGTTTTACTCTTAATATTAAAACATTCTCCTAAGATCAAAGTTGTCTTGCAAATCAGGTCTTGACAAAGATTGTGTTTACAACCAACAAACTGTCTAGTCATTGTATCGAGGTTTATCTGCCTAAACAAAAAGTGGGGACAATACTATTAAAAAAGAAGTTCAGATACATGATAATAATTATATTTTAATTGTCATATGTTAATTGAAACTTTTTATAAGGAGGATTGAAAAATAAATAACAGCTCAGTGGACGTGAAGGATTCAGAGGAGTTTGGGTACGGGCCCTTGGACGCATAAATCCGAGAGCTTTTTCTCTCCAGCTTCGCATATAAAGCCAGGCGACGCCCCTGGAACTCAGAAGCCGCTTCTGCCTCGCACCATGAACTCGCTGGCCATCCTGCTGGTCCTCGTGGCCGCCGTCGCTGCTGACAAGATCCCGGACTTCGTGATCCCCGGACAGTGTCCTGCCGTTGACGAGAGCAAGTTGTGGGCCCAACAGGTCCCAAACTTCGCCAACGTGAGTTTTACTTAGGCCTCAGAATTAGTAACACATTATACCACTCCCAGTTCATTAATCAAACATTCAGTGATTCACTTGCTTATAATTTCCTAACATTTTTTACTAAACACGGATGCCCAATAACGATCCTTATAGTGCTTCAACTTCACACGCGTCGGGTCCAGGGTTCGAAACCCATACAGCCAAGGTGCTTGGAACGATTCTTATTGTTTGTTTCATAGCCAAAAAGCTGTTCTTTTTCTGAAACCAAATTCACGGAAAATTTCTTATCACAACAATGTACGCTTAAACATATGCTCATTTTATGAAACTTGATAAACACATGAGTTTAAATTAATACAAAATTTACTGATTAGGATGTACTTTAAGATATGTTTTCTTTTGTTTCAGTATTCTGGAGAGTGGTATGAGTTCTCCCTTATTAAAAACCCATTTCAGGTGATCAACAAATGTGTCCTCAACGAATATTCTTTTGGTAAGACCTATGAAGCATTTTCTTATATATCAGTGCCTTTCCCTTCATATCTGAACTTAGAAGTCTTACTAATTACCTTCGTCGTCTTGATATAAAACTTGTCCCATGACAAACTAAAACACATTTCAGTAATCTGGTTTACTGCTGCTTCTGCTTCCAATGCTGATAGTGTTTCCTCAATTTTCTGTTCCTCTTTTTCCAAAACTTTGGTGAAACTGGTCGTACTCTTAATGACAAACTTTTCAGAATACACAAAAAGTATTATACAAGACACTGGTAGTACAGTTGGGTTCCTTCTCGACTCACAGTCGGGAGACCCGGATTCGAATTACGGGGATAAGGTAGAACAGAAATAGTTAGTTAATTCCTATCACCTAATGAGTGTCCATCTAGCAGTAAATAAGTATCCTTATCTCTTCTGTTCTTATCCCTTTGTTTCGCCTTCTTATTTCATCGTTATTTCTTTTATCATTTCTCTCCCGTTTAATGCTTTTTTTCTTTTCCATTCTTTACTTTTTCACTTACCGGCCACTTTGATTCATCTCACCTTCCAACTTGCTTTATTTTGACTCTCTCTCTCTCTTGTTAACTTACGACTTCATAAAGCTCCAAAAGGGTCCGAAAAGCATTATTTACTTTTAATTTCATATGTAAGATTTGTGTTATTTTTTCACTTACGTTACTCTGACTTCTGCACAAAAGTCTTCAACAAACATTCCGCATCTTCAGATGGTCAACAGTTTCACGTGTCCTCAACTGGCTTCACTCCTAAAGGCAAGTTGTTGAAGCTCACCGGGAAATTGTACGCCAACCCCTTCAATGAATCTCATCTCGTCGTTGACTTCAACAACAGTAAGTATCTGCCACAGCCTCTTGTGGCTATGTCTCATCCAGAGACATAGCCACAGAGATGGTGGCCATGAGTTAGAATGTTGTTTTATGGGCAAGACTGGTACCTTGCTTTCTTTTGTAATATGAATATATAATGTTTAATAATATGTGCACCTGTATAACACTCAAAAGTAGACTAAGTTCTAGTCTAATTTATATATTTATATATAACAACGATCACAAAAACTCTGATCCAAGTATGCGGAAAAACCACATGTGAAAAATAAATAAAGCTAAACGCGTTTTCGGCTCAATTCGCCTTCATCAGAGCAAAATAGAAAAAATAGAATCTGTATCTTGCAAAATAGAAATCTATACACACATTCTATATGAGGATTTCTCCAAATGTTATATTTGTTCGAGGTTGACTAAAAAGAATACAAAATTACTGTAGGTTGAATGTATTACACTTATTATAAAATTACTCGAATAGTCACAAATTTAAGTTACTTTTCAAATAGTCAAAATTTAAGAATAGTCACAGCGTCAAAGGCTTCTCCAGCACCGGCTCTTTTCCAAAGTAAGGTTTAACTATTCTTATTTTGTTGTATTTAACACTACTGAACTGCTCTCACTGTCGACCACACACACACACACATTAGACACTTATATTTTTGTTTATAAAAGAAAGAGACATATAGAAAGAAAAAACAGATAGAGGCAGAGAAAGAAACAGAGAGATGGCGTATGCTGTATCTTAAAGGTTGGCTTGGTGTTGATAGTGTACTTTTATGGCAATAGATGGCGTTTGCTGTATCTTACAGGGTGGCCTGTTGTTGATAGTGTACTTTTATGGCAATAGATGGCGTATGCTGTATCTTACAGGGTGGCCTGTTGTTGATAGTGTACTTTTATGGCAATAGATGGCGTATGCTGTATCTTACAGGGTGGCCTGTTGTTGATAGTGTACTTTTATGGCAATAGATGGCGTATGCTGTATCTTACAGGGTGGCCTGTTGTTGATAGTGTACTTTTATGGCAATAGATGGCGTATGCTGTATCTTATGGCTGCTATTTTTCTTGCCACCCCCCCCCCCCCTCCCTCTCTTCCAAATATCTAGCCTCACCCAAATATCTAGGGGGGGGGGATGGTTTGTGGTACGGAACGGGCATAGACTGGTCAAGGTAGGCCATATTGCTTTAAGAAATATTAGCAATTATAGATACTCCCGAGGCCATTATCATACCTTGAGGTTACCTTGAAGTGCTTCCGGGGCTTAGCGTCCCCGCGGCCCGGTCGTCGACCAGGCCTCCTGGTTGCCGGACTGATCAACCAGGCTGTTGGACGCGGCTGCTCGCAGCCTGACGTACGAGTCACAGCCTGGTTGATCAGGTATCCTTTGGAGGTGCTTATCCAGTTCTCTCTTGAACACTGTGAGGGTTCGGCCAGTTATGCCCCTTATGTGTAGTGGAAGCGTGTTGAACAGTCTCGGACCTCTGATGTTGATAGAGTTCTCTCTCAGAGTACCAGTTGCACCTCTGTTTTTCAACGGGGGTATTCTGCACATCCTGCCATGTCTTCTGGTCTCATGTGATGTTATTTCTGTGTGCAGGTTTGGGACCAGCCCCTCTAATATTTTCCACGTGTAAATTATTATGTACCTCTCCCGCCTGCGCTCAAGGGAGTACAGTTTTAGGCTCTTTAGTCGGTCCCAATAGTTTAGATGTTTTACTGAGTGGATTCTAGCAGTAAAGGATCTCTGCACGCTCTCCAGGTCAGTAATTTCTCCAGCTTTGAAAGGTGCTGTCATTGTGCAGCAGTACTCCACTCTAGAGAGCACAAGCGTTTTGAAAAGTATCATCATCGGTATAGCATCTCTAGTGTGAAAAGTTCTTGTTATCCAACCTGTCATTTTTCTTGCAATTGTGACGGCTACTTTATTGTGTTCTTTAAAGGTAAGGTCTTCCGACATGAGTACACCCAAATCCTTTACATTGCCTTTTCATTCTATGTTATGATTTGCCTGAGTTTTGTACGTGGTTTCCGTTTTTATATTTTCATTTTTTCCATAGCGCATGAGCTGGAACTTATCTTCGTTAAACACCATATTATTTTCTGTAGCCCATAGAAAGACCTGATCTACATCTGACTGGAGGTTCGCCGTGTCCTCTATGTTGCCTACTCTCATGAAGATCCTAGTGTCATCTGCAAAGGATGATACAGTGCTATAGGTTGTGTTCTTGTCTATGTCCGAAATGAGGATGAGAAAAAGTACTGGAGCAAGCACAGTACCCTGGGGGACTGAGCTCTTCACGGTTGATGGGCTGGATTTTATTTTGTTGACTATTACACATTGGGTTCTGTTGGTTAGGAAATTGTAGATCCATCTGCCTATTTTTCCGGTAATTCCTTTTGAACGCATTTTATGTGCAATAACACCATGGTCACATTTATCAAAAGCTTTTGCGAAATCTGTGTAAATTACATCCGCGTTATGTTTGTCTTCCATAGCATCTAATGCCATATCATAGTGGTCCAGCAACTGCGACAGGCAAGAGCGCCCTGTTCTGAAACCATGTTGTCCGGGGTTATGGAGTTGCTGTGATTCCATGTATTTTGTGATTTTACTTCTTAGCACTCTCTCAAAAATTTTTATGATGTGCGATGTTAGCGCTATCGGTCTGTAATTTTTTGCCTCTGCCTTATTTCCTCCTTTATGAAGTGGTGCTATCTCTGCTGTTTTTAGTATATCAGGAATAACGCCAGTATCTAGGCTTTGTCTCCACAGAATGTGGAGGGCCTGCGATAGTGGTTTTTTACAGTTCTTTATGAATATGGAGTTCCAAGAATCCGGGCCTGGTGCAGAGTGCATAGGCATACTGTTTATGGCTTCTTCAAAATCCAGTGGGGATAGGGTGACGTCTGATATATGATTTGATGTTGGTATCGTATCCATGAAAAATTCATTTGGGTTATCAATCTTTAGTGTGTTTAATGGCTTGCTGAAAACAGAGTCGTACTGCGTCCTCAGTAGCTCGCTCATTTCTTTGTTGTCATCGGTGAAAGTTCCATCTCCCTTTCGCAGGGGCCCGATACTAGATGTGGTTTTTTATCTTGATTTTGCATAGGAGAAAAAATATTTCGGATTTCTTTCTATTTCACTGATGGCCTTTTGCTCTCTTTGCCTCTCCTGGGTTCTGTATGATTCTTGTAGCTTCCGTTCAATTGTTTCTATTTCTCTACCTAACCTTCTTCGCCGTTCTTGAGATAGGGTGCGACTCTCAAGTTGTTCCGCGATTCGTTTTCTTCGCCTATATAGGGAACGACGTTCCCGTTCCAATCTGCATCTCTTCCTCTTTTTTCTTAGAGGTATGCGGTTTGAACATATTTCTAGTGCTACTGAGCTTATTTTTTCCAGGCACTGGTTCAGGTTTGCATTTCCTAGCTGTTCTTCCCAGTTTATTTCTGTGAAGTCCTGGTTTATTCGCTCCCAGTTTATCTGTTTATTATTGAAGTTGAATTTGCTGAAATCTCCTCCACCGGGAATCTGGACTGGTTTTGAAGGTCTATTCCCCATGGTTGTCATAACTTCAATTAAGTTGTGATCTGAGTAACAGGTATTTGTAATCATTATGTTCCTGATCAATTCATCATTATTAGTGAAAATGAGGTCCAGCGTGTTCTCCTTCCTAGTTGGTTCTACTATTTGCTGGTTTAAGGCAAACCTGTCGCACATCCGTAGCAGGTCATTTGCATGTGCCTGTTCATTTAGGCTACTTCCTGGTCTGATATTACTGTATTAGCCAGGTGCTTCCATTTCAGGTGCCGTAGGTTGAAGTCCCCAAGCAGGATGATGTTCGGAGCTGGATTTGTGAGTCAATAGAGAGTCAATATCATAGAGTCAAGTGTGAAATATTACGTGTGATTAGTGTGCTGTTTTGTCATAATAATAATTTCTTATGCAATTTCTATTTAATCATTTCAATAGATCTTAATAATATATTTTATGTGAGAAGAGGGAGAGGTGGGAAGCATTGGAGAAGCGGGGGGATAGATAGATGGATGGATAGGTGAATATACAGACGGACCCGTGCCACGCCATGTATCCCCCCCCCCTCCCTTATGCATATATGCAATACATATATGTATATGTATTCTCTCGCAGCCTTGGCCGCCCCGTACGTCATCCTGGACACGGACTACACCAACTTCTCCTGCATCTACTCCTGCGTCGGCTTCAACAATCTTTATTATACCGACACTGCTTTCGTCTACACCCGCTCCCCCAGCCTGGATGACAAGTTCGTGCAGCGGTGTGAAGCTGCCTTCAAGAGCATCAATGTTGACACTTCCCGCTTCATAAAGACCGTCCAAGGATCATCTTGCAATTATGGTGCCCAGAGATCACTCTGAGAATCCATCCATAACAATTTAGTATTATGATAACGTTATGGAGGTACTCAGAAAATTAATATTTGCTTCAGAGTCCTTTGAACTTTGCACTATGTAACTTTCTTTCATGTCAGTGACTTGTTGCATAGGCCTATATGTCTTAAGATGGCTTGTGTAGTTAGTGGTAACGAATATTACCATTAAATTATGCTAGTTATGCAGTTTTAAGGGGGCATATCGTTTTAAATCGTTATAAATTAAAAGTTGTTCAATTTGCTTATAAATTTATTTATGAAATGGTTATAGAAAGGGCTGCAACTGGTCCAAGTTTCACCATCACACCCTAAACAGAAAAGGAGAAAAAAAATACACAACGTATTATGCAACGAATGTTCAACATTCTCAAATAATCTCAGGGAACACATGTGTCAACTAAAATGTCTACTATGTGCTGTAGAAGCACAAACTCTTGTAATAATTGTAATATGTATGTGCAATATATTTATATGTAAATTTTTTTTTTTTTCTTCTTTTTTTTTGGCCAATTTTGTTTTTCGTTTGTTATCAAGGGATTTGCATGAAACTTGCACACCTTGCTCAATGGATGCCTATCTGCAAAGGTGTCAATTATGAACGAAATCTGTCGAAGTCAAGCTCAGCTACAGGTGGCCGAACTTTGATCTTTATTTTACTCAGGAAAGTAATTTACAACTTCAAAGTACTTCATAGCTTTCATTTATTAATCAATTTACATGCAAATTACACCTTATATGTAGAGTTTGTGCTTCTACAGTACGTTGTAGACATTTTAGTCCAAAGTCCATTTGTTGATTTTATAAAAATTTATAAACATCATATATTGCATATTTTTGGAAGGGTAACTTTGAATAATTATATTATTGCACTAAACACGTTTTTGATAAAACTACTCACAACAATCCTTTATTATATGCTAATTTTAATATCTGAGTGTTATAGAAAGGATTTTAGTTGACGCATGTGTTCCCTGAAATTATTTGAAAATGTTGAAAAATCGTTGCATAATATGTTGTGTATTTTTTTTCTCCTTTTCTGTTTAGGGTGTGATGGTGAAACTTGGACCAGTTGCAGCCCTTTCTATAACCATTTCATAAATAAATTTATAAGCAAATTGAACTACTTTTAATTTATAACGATTTAAAACGATATGCCCCCTTAAAAAGAAGGAAAATTTGATTTTATATCCTTATAATCCCCAATGGTGGAACATTACAATTGTAAACTATTTGAGCTAGAACATACTTTCCAACACTATATCTGTGATTTCCCTGTTATCAGTGACTTCAGACCAAATGGTATGAGGTACTTTGAGCTCTGTAATTACTTCATACACAGGAATATTGGAAAATATTCTTGTGCTGTACCCAGAGTTTGCTAGTGGAGGCTAATAGATCAGCCTCACATTTCATGTTCTCTCCTGATTCCATGTATGACTGACCGTCCTGTGAGGTGGGGATGTTGGATGAGCTTGTAGCTGTTTTTTTCTACACTGTGTAGTTCTTCATACAGAATAGGGTAGCAGAACATTGCTGTGTATACCTAAGCTTGTTTTAAAAAGAAAATACATTGTTTGAGAGGAGTCTTGAAGAAACTGGTACGAGTAATTGTAATGTTTTGTTTCCTTGATTCAGTGCTTAGCTCTTGTGAAAATCATGAAGTTGTTGTTTAGACAGAGTTGATTTGTTTTTCGTATTGAGGCAGGTATTTACTTCCCTGATTTCATGTATGACTAATCATCCTGTGAGATGGGAATATTAGATAAACTTATAGCTAACTTATTATCTACACTGTGTAATCTTTCATATAAAATAGGGTAGCAGCCCATTGCTGTGTATACCTAAGCTTGATAATAAAAACAAAACAAAAAATCCTTATATATTTTTTATTCAGGTAGAAATATTTTTGTTCCCATAGCTATTTCCCTCAGTTTCTCTCACTGAGGAACAAGAGAAGACTTTGGACGCACCGTCGGAGTGATGTCGACCACAGGAGACGACCTGCTGGCTATGAACTACTTTTCGGTGGTGGAAAACTGTTCTTTACACTGATGACTTTTACACGATGACAATAAATGCGTATTTACAATGGATCATCAGATCGGCCGGAGATAACATTTGGTCTGAATTATCCGGCGTGTGTGGATAATTCAGACACCTGTCTAACATCTGGTAGAACATTACTACATCACGGGGGAGCAGAAAGCAGAGCAGTTCTTTACCTGGATCCTAAAGAACATATAGAACAAGAGAGGATAAAGAACATGACCATATAAAGAACTTGAGGATAAAGAACGTTTATTCTCACACACTGGCTGAATGTAAGTGTATATGGCAGAGAAGAGAAGGATAATATCACTTACACTGCTTCTTATATGGGGTACTGACCACGCCCAGGATACAGCTAGAATTTGTACAACCACTTACGAAATCTGGATTGCAGCCACAGCAGTCACTGGGTGCGGCTGTGTCAGCCGAGCTCCGCCTTTGCCGCCTGGAGTGTGCGGTGATTGGCTGTTGCTTGTGACGTGACGGGTGCGCTGCGGCTGTGTGGCCGGAAAGGATGGAATCACCATTCCCTGCTGTGAAGCAGTTGTTGACGGCTGGGTTGGAATTCTCCGGCTCGGTGACTTATTCTGCGGTGGAGGTGGATTTGTCGGACCTCCGGCAGGTTGCTGTGACTTCCATCGGGGGCGTCCAGATCATCTCTGCCTATCGGGCGGTCGTTAAGTTTACTACAGCAGATGAGTTTGCGGCCTTTGTGGGCCGTTATGCTGGGCACTCGTTTACGTTGCCTAAGGGTGCTTGGACTGTGATCGTGTTGGATCGTAGTGGCGCTACGACTTACGTGAGTGTCCATGGTGCACTCTTCGAGTTCCCTGATGATTTGCTGCGCCGATATTTTGGGCAGTTTGGCCGGGTGTTGAGCATTCGGATGAATGTAATTTCATCTGGCCGACTGAAGGGTGTGATGCCCAATGGGATCCAGACCCTCGCGATGCGGCTTACGTCACAAAGAATAAGTCACGGTGAACTGGAGTGAACAGTTTATGAACTGTGCTCAGTCATCCTTCCCAACCATGGTTCCAACCTGGCCATTGTTGTATATCTGCTGTATTTGTTAATGTATATATATTAGTGTTGCTGTCTGCTGTATGTGTTAATGTATCCATTACTGACATCACTATTATAAATATTTATTTTCCAGTAACTGTCTTTTTCCTTTATTCAGAAGAAAGTTTTGACGAAGTTAGGTAATTGATTATCTTGTGTATAACAAGTATAATTATTACGATCAAATAATGGTTACTAGAGTATTACTTCCGTCCCTTCCCACATCCTTGTCCTTATATTCCCTTCATGTGTTTCATAGTCTTATGTAGTCTCCATAGTCTTATGTAGACTACCTCTGGTTTAATAACCTCTGGCTGGTTATTAAAGCTCCCACCATAGTTGTTAAAGATTTAGCTACTCAGGACGAAGTGTCCATGTAGCACGGGCTATGGTGAGCCCATAATCTATTCTAACGTGGAACTTTACTTACTCCCACCATAGCTTACTGACCAACCACCAAGAATACTTTTACCCTGAACATATTTCAGGACCAAAGTTAACTCTGTGTATATAAATAGAGACTACCCTAGGGAGGATTGACTAGGCGGTAATCATTCACTGTGGCTTCTGTTCACCCAGCAGAGATTGGGTACCTGGTTGTTAAACGATTTGGCGGGTCGTGTTCCAGGGACAACTAGTGAGTAGGTCTTACCATGAGCAAAGGTTAAGCTCTCAGGCTGCTAACAGGAGTCAGCAGTCGTCTGTTCCTGTATCTATCTGTGTATTAAAAAAAAAACTGGGTATACCTCTTAGTGTATATATATTATGACGTCTTGATTTAATGCTGTTGCTCCACCCAACATTATTATTATTATTATTATTATACATTTGCATTACGTTATGTTAGTTACGTAGTTCTTATGCATGAATATTTACTAATAAAGTTATTCTCTATTATTCGGTTGTTTTCAGTGTCATTCATGTTATTAACTTCAATTTACCGACATTTATGTTTTTCTATATAAAACAGGAACAAATAGTAACCTATGTTAAAAGGATTTTACATACGGAACAATAACATATGTCAATGTGATGTAAATTATGAACAAAAGTCTCAAAATCATCGAAAATAAAATGTATCAAGTCCTAGCGACTGCCAGGATAATAAAGCCCATAAGTTATCGAACGAGTATACTTTAATTATCTTGATTGGAGTTCATAACTAAAGTAAACCACTCAGTATAGATGTTTCCAGGTAGAGAGTATACCTCACGGAGTAACAATTGTCTGCTGAGGTCCCTTAACGTAATGCTTCGGTTACGGAGAGAATAAACAGGATAAACAATTTATAAAAAATTTATTTCACATGTACATAATATCAGGAAGGTTCACATATGTACATATCGAATGATCCATTTTAAACACATGTGGACACTTGTTTTGTAAACACATGAGGCATATCACAAATCTTAATGTACAAGTTCACAGTCATGGGGGCGTGAGCCGACGAGCTCACAGTTCACAGTCCTATGTGTCTCACCATAGCTTGTGGCCACTTGTAATTAGACACGAGTGTCATTTTACTCTTGGTTAGAAAGTAAATATCAAAAGAAGGCGCCAAGCCGGTAAGGTTATGTAGCACTGACTGTTGGTAAGATAAGGTCACGTTTATGTACATGAAAATATGGGAGACGATAGCGGAAGAACAGTGAGATTGTTGTTTTGATAATTGTGAAATGTTATGGAGCCTTAAGCTCTATAGACGCACTCAGCCGTCTGCGAGACAGGCACGAACTTGGAGAACTCGACACCGTTCTTCCTGAAGACAGCGGCACACTTCTCGACGGCGGGTCCTGAGGTCTGGGGGGTACGGGATAAAACGAAGCCGAACTCTGCCTTGTAGTTGTCGGTGGTGATGCAGGAGTAGACGCAGGAGTAGGTGTCGTAGTCAGTCTCGATGACCTCATACGGCGAGGCGAACACTGGAGAAACAAAAACAATTTAGTGACTAAGAACTTGTTTGCGCATTCTAAAAAGTGCAACATTTATACTTTTTAATATTAATGATTCTGTTGATGAAGATTGTGGGCAAGACTTACCTGAAGGAGCATCAATGAGCATGTGAGCGGCTGGGAACTCCTTAGTTGGGTAGACCTTAAAGTCAATCTTCAGATATTCTCCCTTCGGGTTT